TACTCAGGCTAATCTCTGAAGTAGCTGAAGATATTAGAGGTGATCAACCCTAATTTTGTTATCATTTTATTCTTTATTCTGTTCTTGCCCCTTCCCTCTGCCATTATATATATCCTTGTGTCAGGGCTCAGTTTCTGCTACTTAAAGTTATTTAGATTTTTAAAGTTTTCCTACTATAAAAAAGCATTTGAGAGGAACTATATTTTAATTTTTATGATTGACTAAACTTATCCCTAATCAAATATCACTATAGAACAGTACATATTAAGAGTGATACTTGGCTGAAACCTGTTTGGCTCAGTGGATAGAGCGTCGGCTTGCGGACTGAAAGGTCCCGGGTTCGATTCCGGTCAAGGGCATGTACCTGGGTTGCGGGGACATTCCCAGTGGGGGATGTGCAGGAGGCAGCTGATTGATGTATCTCTCTCAGCGATGTTTCTGACTCTCTATCTCTCTCCCTTCCTCTCTGTAAAAAATCAATAAAATATATTTTTTTTAAAAAAGAGTGATACTTGGAGTACTCTGTTAAGAGGGATCACTTTTAAAGAGTCATTTTCTAATGGAATATATCACAGTTTGAGCAGATCCAGAGAAATTTTTCTTTCCAGAATATTAGTCTTGTGGAAGTTAGAGCAAACTGCAGCCAAGGAAAGACAACAAAAGAAATGGCTTATTGCAGAATTTCTTATTCAGTATCTTCAGGTTATATTCTACCTTCTTGTTGCCTACTACTCCCTGATTTTGCATGTTGTTTTTTCTAAAAGTATACCCATCCTGTGCAAACATAATATCAACCTAATATTGTGACTTGTTTGGCTAGTGTTATAATAGAGTATAATTTAGAGTGAAGAATGAACCATAAACAAAAGAGAGATGCCAGCTATATTCAAAATGGAAATTGGGCTGAAGGAGTGAAAATTTGAAGTGATGGCATTTCTTGAATCAATTTAGAGGATGGCTATAGGTACAACTTCAAGTCAAAACAACAAATTTAAATTTCTGTACTGTGACTTCAAAGAAAATGGGAGGATAGTCAAGATTTATAAATGGACACAATGGAAACTCAGGGAAAGAAAAATAAATGTGCATAACTAATGAATCTTGTGTGTGTGGTATAAAGGTATAGAAGGGATAGTTTTTATTTGAAGACAAGAATGCAAGGCCTTGAGGAGTGAGAGGATTTCTTACAGAGTAAGGGAATGGGGCCTTAGCCGGTTTGACTCAGTGGATAGAGCATCAGTCTGCGGACTGAAGGGTCCCAGGTTCGATTCCGATCAAGGGCCGATACCTCGGTTGCTCAGGCCTGGGCCCTGATCAGGGCCCGTGCAGGAGGCAACCAACTGATGTGTTTCTCTCACATCGATATTTCTTTCTGTCTTTCCTTTTCTCTTCCACTCTCTCTAAAAATCAATGAAAAAATATCCTCGGGTGAGGATTAACAAAACAAAACAAACAAGTAAGGGTGTGGGGAAGGAATCCTGTAAAGCCAGATCGACAGTGATAGAGTTGTTAGGAAAACGGAAAAAGCTCACCCATGGCACTGCTGCATGACTGTGCCATTGACAGTATGTTCTGTGTGCGCCAATGTCTGGAAAATTGACTGGGAAATTTAAAAGACAGCATATTGTTTTGCTACTTTCAAAGGGTTTATGGGGAGAAAGAAAAGGTGAATGCAACAAATATTAACATTGATGAAGTTGGTGAAGTATGTATATTTATTTTACTATTCTTTCATTTATTTAGTAGGATTAGAAATTTTCAAAGTAAAAAGTTGAGCGAAGACAAGATAGTTTTTATAAATTAAAAATTTACATTCACAAATTATAAAAATTATAATTTTTAGGGAAAACAGATTTGAAAGGTTTAACCACCTAAAATAAATAGTGAATTTGTAATAGTGAAGGTTTGTGTAAAACAAATGAACCAAAGGAATTTTGAGCAAGGAGAGTAGGGTTTGAATGTGAGGGAATGGAATAATACTATTGAATAATGGGAGGTCTGGTGACAAATTTCTAAAAGTTCCTTTAGTATAAATGTAG